GTCCAAACACACGGGCAAAATGCTTATTTGCTGATGATTCTATTCCTATTGCCCAATCTGATACAACTACACATGTTTGTGCGGCCATGAGAATGTTCTGAAGTACAACACCTTCAGCCTCTTCTTTTGAGAATCCTGCAAACACATGAAAGTATGCTTGAAGTACTTATTCATTTCTTAATCAATAGTTGCATAATTTCTTACTTACTTAATCGTACAATATTCTTGCTTATTTGTTAACTCCAATTTACTCCAGACATAAATGACGCGCCAAGGCTTAACTGTTGGAACATAAACTTGTTATCCATGGGAATTACCTATTAATATCTATTAGTTTATCATTTCAGATTTTCAAAGAGACTACTTGCTAAATTTCAAAATTGCTCGTCTATATGGTTATCTTAGACATAATTCCTAAATACCGTAATGTCTGTAAAAGACTACCATGCATGTTGTGAAAACAATAAATTATAAACTCTGTAACAACAATCAATTATTTCATTTGATTTGTGTGAGGTTACCCTTGCTTTGCAAGAAATGTTTTCCTGCAGAACCTGCATATTACAAAATTTGACATAACTGAAGTTAGGGCTTTCCTTAAGACAAAAGAGGATTTGAGAATCGGCGTCAACATCCCGAATGAAGAACAACAAACTTTTTTCACGGTCGATGATTGGAATGATGTGCAAATGACCTTGACTCTACGTGGTGGTGTGGGTCACTCCATATATGTGCAACTACACAATAATCCTGTCACTCATCCATGTATGTTGTCTTGAATATAACCGCACTTTAGTTTCCTTTGTCTCTAATGACCAATCTGTTAAGGTTTAGGTCTATGTGTTTACCATGCAAGCCCTTGGATCGGTTCACCAACATACACTGTACTGATGTAATATCAAACACAAATGCATCATCCCATTGCATCATAATGATCCAAAATTAACATAGTCTTATAAACCACTAGCCAGAGGCTAGCCAAACAAATAGCCTTTAAAACGTAAATAGTTCATAACAACGGAAACACACAAAAAATATAGCCCCATCTTTGGTAGAACGGTCACCGAGCGAAACCCCAATATTGGCTCGACAGGCCATTTGATGCCCTCCCCCGGGGTGTCATTCTTTATGCCCAAAAAAGTTGTCCAAATCAGAAAATAGTTCGAAAATACATGGCAAAGAAACTCAAATAGATTTGCAATGAGATTTATATCAGGCATTTGAATTGTCTACGGAAAAGCATGTACTAAAAAATTAACTACCACGATAGCATGAAAAACAAAAATCAACAAAAAAGGACAAATAAAGTAGAACACGTATTTTCCATACAAAAATTGCCATCGGATATGTATAAAATTTTCCATGGTAATGTCACATTAAATTGTCCTTCCGAAATGTAATGCTTTAACATTGTATATAAAAATTTTGGGCCATCAAAAATAAAATTTCTGTCCTCTTAATAATCACTTCGTCAAATTGTATATTTTCTATGTTTTAACATAAACTCCCACACACAAAAATTTCCATGATTGAATCGATAGAACTGCCATACCAGTTAACTAAATTACCATGATCTAGATAATAAAATTTGCCATGATACGCTGAAAAACACTTGAAAAAGACAATGTATTTTAAGTTGCTGTGGTTGTATAATTCAAATTTTCACTTCAACAAAGTTTAAGTTTCTATGACAACAAGTTTTTTCTTCAATGGTAATGATGCACAAATTGTAATCTTGTGAAAACAAAGAAAATTGCATGTTCGAAACAATAAAATTACCATGATAGTAGAAATAAAAATGTCATGCTCTTCATAATAAAATTTTCATGTGATATATTTTCTTAATAAAAGTGATATGCCATTAAAAATAAGTTGTCTTGCTCTTAATAAAATTTGTCGTTCTCTAATAATAATAAAATACCATGATTTAGATGGGAAAAGGCCCAACTATCCCATGAGAACAAAAAATAATAATTATCTATAAGAATTATGTACATAAATAATTATCTACAAAAAAATTACAGGAGAAAAAAGCATAAAAAATGCATGCCCATAAAATTGCCATCTCAAAAATAACCGTGAAAAAGTTTTAAAATACATAACATGGATATTGGATAAAATGATAGAAAAGTAAGTTTGCCATGATTGTGATTAAAGAACTCCTATATATAACATAAAAATGTCCCATGTTCGACACTAAATATATATGGATAAAAATATAAATTAGAGGGAAATTGTCATGACAGAGTAAAAAAATCCACCTATATCTAAATTTAAAATTGCTATGATGCATTAAATAAAATTTGACATACTATACTAGATAAATTTCCCATGCTAGAAAATATAATCTGCCATGGTGATATAGAAAAAAACATACACATGATAAATGGTCATGGAACTGTATGAGAAATTAGGAATAGTTCAATTTTGGACATGGTCCATGAAACTTTGATGTAAAATGTTCTATATAAGGAAAACATGGCAAGTTAGGAAATTTTGTAATCATCACATGTCAACTTGTTTTAAAGAAGTTTAACTTATCACATAGAAAATTAGATAATTCTCGTTACATAATTCACTAAAATTTATACGTAGAACACATAGCAAATTGTCTTCATATGTATTTTGTATTTTGTTTTTTTCATTTGTTACATGTAGAGGGAGAATCACTAGGCATTGCACATGTCAATTCCACATAAAAATAGTGTTGGCAGTTTTTCTAAAAAAATATTCACAAGACAACATTGTTTTTTATCATATCAAGTACTTTTATATACCCTGTGACACATATATTACATAGATCATGGAGAAATTCTAAATATTATGGAAATTTTTGATGAAAACAATTATTTCTAATGCGTGACAAATTTAGAAGTATTTTTTTGCTGGTCACATAGCAAGCTTAGACAAATTTGTGATCTATATTATGGCAACTGTACATATTATGATTTTTTTACTAGTCACATGGCAAGTTTAGGAGATTTTTTCATAACATGGCAAACCCGTATTTGGTCACATAGATCTTTTCTACAAGCATGGCAAATTGTATATATCTTTGTAATGTCCACATGGCAAATCTATGAATTTTTAAACTTGTCGCATGGAAAATTATATATTCTTGGACATGAAAAATTACGCATATTTGGTGTATAAGACATGGTAATCCCCCATCCCGTCCATCGGGCTAATTTGGACATGAAAAATTACGCATATTGACGTATAAGACATGGTAAATTATTTTTTTATCATATCATGTACTTGTATATACCCCGCTCACCACCCTCGTTGGGGCTTCGTAGGGACACAGGAGCTCCCGCCACAACACCATCGCCAGGGAGATGGAGGATTTTTTTAATTTTTATTTGC